TAATTAATTAGTATACCTAGTATACCTATTTGACATAAATGTGGTGAATAATTATTTTAAATTTATTTAATTTATTTATTAAAACTTAATAAAGTACGGAAATATATTTCGTTTAGTTATTTTGCTTATAACCGGCAACACTGAAGATTCTCAAATTCAGCGCGTGCGTAGTACTATGAAATACAATAATAAACAAAAGGGACTTTTTTAAGTAATTTTTTATTGTATTGCAGACTGTCATAGTCATATTATTAACAGAAATAATATTATTAATATATAAATATTATTATCTGGGTAAAGTGAACATTTCAAAATTAAAAATTTCGTAGCTCTTGGCAAAAAATCAATTTACCGTAAAGTTGTTTTTTTTACATATGCTAGTTTAAACCATCACAAAATCCCACATGTATACATACAAGTATATATACAAGATATCCATATCAGTTATCCACCGGATATCCAGTGGATATACATTAGATGTACAATGGATATACTTTGGACATACATTAGTTATCCATTGGATATATATTAGAGATACTTTGTTGAAATTGGGTTAATAACGATTTAAATCATATTTATTAATCATTACATAAATTTATCCTTTAAGGGGCTATTTTAACAAAGAAAACAATATTTTTAATGTTTTTGGTTTTTTTTTGAACATCCAGTATGGATATCCATTGGATATCCAGTGGATATCCAGTGGATATCCAGTGGATATACATTAGATGTACAGTGGATATACTTTGGAAATACATTAGTTATCCATTGGATATATATTAGAGATACTTTGTTGAAGTTGGGTTAATAACGATTTAAATCATATTTATTAATCATTACATAAATTTATCCTATAAGGGGCTATTTTAAAAAAGAAAAAAATATTTTTAATGTTTTTGTTTTTTTTTAACATCCAGTATGGATATCCATTGGATATCCAGTGGATATCCAGTGGATATACATTAGATGTACAGTGGATATACTTTGGACATACATTAGTTATCCATTGGATATATATTAGAGATACTTTGTTGAAATTGGGTTAATAACGATTTAAATCATATTTATTAATCATTACATAAATTTATCCTATAAGGGGCTATTTTAAAAAAGAAAAAAATATTTTTAATGTTTTTGTTTTTTTTTGAACATCTAGTATGGATATCCATTGGATATTTTCACTGAATAACTTTTGATTGAGTAAATTTAGCCAAAAATGTTAAGAGGCTTTTTTGTAAAGCGTTTGATTTCCCATATTCATAGGTTTTTTTCTGGGTACTGATTTTTACATGAATTACAAAATTCTAAAGTTAAAAGATCAAAATGTAAAACTATACCAATTTTTAAGGCACGATTTTAAGGAAACAGTTCATCTGACGGAAAATTTCATTTTAACCTTTTTTGTAGAGCATTTAATTTTCTTAAAAAAATATTTTTGATTCAATTTTGTTAAACTCAATAGTTTGGGAGTTCTGAGACAAAAACTTGCTGAGGAAAAAAAATTTAAAATTGCGATGACCTCTTAATATTAATGTAATGGACTCAAACTTTCACATTTTTTTTTTGTCACCCCAAACCATATTTTCGATATACTTTAAAAAAAAAATAGTTGATTTTGTGGCCCAGTCTAATATATAATATTATGTTGCCATGAATTCGTAGGTATATTTTGTTGTTTAAAATGCAGTTGTCGGCGTTTTTTAGACAACTCAAATATAAAAATGGTTGATTTTAAGGTTATGTTTTTGCAAAAATTATTTTTTACTAATTTCTTAAAAATGTCCAAACTTAAATATAAATTATATTAGGTAAAGTTATCATTAGTTAATTCTGCACCAACAAAAGTACTTACCGAATTGGATCCTTTGGCAAAACATAAAAATGCAACGATTTAGTTCTTGAATTTTATTTACAATTAAAAACACAATAATTCACCATAATCCCTTAGATAAAATACACACACCAACGTAACTATATAAGCATTTAAGCGTTGAGTTTCTTAATCAATGATATTAAGAATAATCAATCGAAATCGAGTACTAAACCAGTTTTTTAGTTTTTTCCTTGCAACGTAAAACACAAATAACGAGCGCGATTTAGCTGTGCAATTGAACAAAATTTGTCGAGTAAGACTTCTGCCTTCCTCTCTTTTGTGAAAAAACTACCTATTTATTTAAAAATGACGTACAGTTCGTATGCTTTAAATGTATTGTTGACAATTCTTAAATTCACGCAATGCTATCGAAGACCACCAGATGGCGCGCGCGTTGCGAAAACCCGATACTTTAAATTTTTGATTTTTATTTATAAATTATTTTTATTACTTATATATAAGTAATAAAAATAATGTTTGACTTTTTTTTAGAAAAATTGGCGGAAGCAACAAGAAAGTACGCAAGTTTAAAAAGCGATTTAAGCGAGGCCCAGGATGTGGATTTTTCCGGAAAAAATAATAACACGACTTCACTCAGACACAACATCCTCAGGAAAAGAAATATGCCAACGAGAAAAATGCAGGACCTTAAACTTGCCTTCAGCGAATTTTATCTTAGTCTTATTTTGCTGCAGAACTATCAAAATTTGAATTTCACTGGCTTCAGGAAGATTTTGAAGAAGCATGACAAGGTAAGATTTATACAACTTTTTTTTAATATTTTTTATTTTTATTAAGACGTTTACTAAATTGTTTTATATTTTGAGCGTGCAATAAATTATATTGTTTTAGTATATCTGGTATGAGAATACCATACCACATCTACTTTTTCCACTCCAAAACAAAAAAATTCAGTTCACAAAAAGTATTGGGTGTCACACGCCTTTATAAAATAAACATTTTATCAACATTGTTAAAGTAAATATGCAACGAACGGTACATTTTTTAAAATATTTCCAGATATTTTTGTGATGTTGAGGAAACATTAATAAAATGTACGAACATGTTTAAAAAAGTTTGTTTATACAGTGTGAGCCATTTGTTTGCGACTCACCCCTGTGCGGATTTATTGTGCGATTTTAACCGGATTTGTTTTAAAGTGTAGATCTTGATAAACTGTATTTTTTGAGCAAAAAACGCCATATTTTTACAAAATACAAGGCATACTATGTCAGTTTTTAAGAGTAAGTTTTTAAGAATTCATAATAATAATAATTTTATTTCAATGTTTTTTCATGGATAACTTGACAGAATAAATTTTTGTGGTTATTATTGTGCATTTTTCTTCTTAAAATTTTTCAATAAAATTTAGTAAAGGGTCGTTTTGAGGGGTGGTGAATCCAGTGCCGTGCTTATATTTTGTTTAAAAAAATCACTAATATGAATTTTTTTAATAACTTTTGCATAACTTTCAAACCAAATAACCATAGAATTAAAATATAACAAATAGGTAACATTATTAATTTAGCAAATATATATTAACTTTTAGAAAAGCGTTTAATAGATGGCGCTACAACCGCATTTTATTTCTCGCGCATGTTCAAAATCAACGAATTAAATAAATATTTTAAACAAAAAATACACTCACAGGCAAAATAATCGATTCACAAAAATTTTCGATGAATTTCAATGGCAAATAACTTTTTTATTTGTTTTCGGATTTAAACAAATATTAAAGAATATTGTAGATACATTAATGGACAATCGCTCACATTTTAAAAATTACTAAAAAATACACGTACGTTTATAATATACAGGTTTAAACAAAAATATGTTTTTTACCATAAGTTTAAGACACTCTGTAGAGTGGCAAAACCGTATATTGTTCTAAATTAAGTTTTAATTATTAAGTCACATCTATTTTTAACAGTTTTACTTTTGGTTCACCTTGATATATTTATTTTTGTGGAAAATATGGATTTTTTTAACAAAACAAAAAACATTGCAATTTCCAATATTTTTCCTGTATGAAGAACTAAAGTTGCTATGGTCCATCCATAGCCTATGGAGGATGACAGTGACAGTTTTGTTGAATCATCCCATACTTGGACATGTCATATACAGCTTTCAAAAGCTATCAAATTGTGTTTTGTAAATTAATGTGTTAATTTTGAGGTGTCTTCTTACTTTTAAAAATGTCTCCGACTGATGTTGCTTTGTACTTTACTTCTTGTGACGTTTAAAACACTTGCCAAGTAATACTGTGACCGTCCATCCTGGATTAAATGAATGGCTCTGGCAACATCATTCAGAGACATATCCATTTTTTAAAGTAAGAAGACACCTCAAAATTTAAACATTAATTTGCAAAAAACAATTTGATAGCTTTTGAAAGACGTGTATGACATGTCCAAGTATGGGATGATTCAACAAAACTGTCACTGTCATTCTCCATAGCCTATGGATGGACCATAGCAACCTTAGTTCTTCATACAGAAAAATATTGGAAATTGCAATGTTTTTTTAAAAAATCCATATTTTTCACAAAAATAAATATATCGAGGTGAACCAAAAACAAAACTGTTAAGAATAGTTGTGACTTGATAAATAAAACTTAATTTAGAACAATATACGGAGTGTCTTAAACTTATGGTAAAAAACATCTTTTTCTTGAAACCTGTATATTATAAACGTACGTCTATTTTTTAGTAATTTTTTAAAATGTAAGCGATTGTCCATTAATTTATCTACAATATTCTTTAATATTCGTTTAAATCCGACATCAAATAAAAAAGTTATTTGCGATTGAAATTCATCGAAAATTTGTGTGGATCGATTATTTTGCCTGTGAGTGTACTTTTAAGAATTTTTTTAAGATTAAATATTTAAAAAGTTAAATCATAAATTACTATAGCATAATAAACAAAACAAAGAGTGTATCGAATTCTAAAGTGAAATTTATACCTCACACTTTAATACAATTTAAAAACAAATATTTTAATTTAATCTCATATTTCGTAAAGCTTAAAAATTTAAACCACCAAATGTGTAAATTACAAATAGTACTTGGACTATTTTTGGATATTAAAAAAAACTTAAATGTCACATTGTTTTTATTTCATTTTTATTAAGTGGTGTAAATGCTGATCGTGTAGTTTAATCCTTTGCCCAACTGTGAAGTCAATCTAATTTCCACGTCTTTCTCATAAAGGCCTCCAGAAACAATGGAAGCATATCCTCCATCCACATTGGTGTCTTCATTAATAGCCTAAATATATTTAATTAACATAATAAAAGTATATAAATCTGCACAAAAACTAATTTACCATAATGCAAGTTATGTCCTTGGTATTAGGTGTTAATGTAGGCCAAGCCACATCTTTTTCAACTTTGGCAAGGAACTTGCCTTCTACAAGCACTGGGCTTTGATATACCAAATTCACACTAAAATAATAAAAATTAAAAACAAAATAAAAAAACTTTAAGAATACTCACGCATGAGCAGAGTCACAAACGTTTAAATTATGCGCTCCATCTTTGAGTGGTTTAGCCGAAATTATGACTACCACAGCGCTATGAACCAATATAACTTTAAAGGACATTGTTGCGAATGAAAATAATTTATCGATCAAACGAACTTACCTTAAGTGAAGTTCGATCGTAATTATACTTCAGGGTCTCGTCCTCTAGATCAATTATACACTTGTAGTAGCGCCAGCTGCTCGGTTTCAACCACAACTATTTTAAAGCATAGAAATTAAAATTCAAAATTGGCGCGCTTCCGACCAACACCCTATTGGTCACCCGATTCGCGCCCAAATGTCATTAGGTTCAAAGCAAATTTCAAAAAATCGTAGGAATAGATCAAATTTTTGGGAATCCAATCGGGTGGGGGGGATTGATCTATTCGGACGAGACCCTTCGTATAATTACGATCGAACTTCACTTAAGGTAAGTTCGTTTGATCGATAAATTATACTTCAGGGTCTCGTCCTCTAGATCAATTATACACTTGTAGTTGTTTAAAGAAATGCGATTTTTTAATCATAAAATTTATTTTAATCACAGCCAACTCAGACTGAGTGGTGCAGGTACAAAAATAAGGAACAAAGAAAACAAAACAAATTGTTTAAGAACGAAGCTTAAGGATGCTTAACGGAAAACTCGTTTCAGGGGCCAAGGGTCTGTTGTAGTGTCTGGCGAACATTTCTGACGATTTTGTCCATGTAGCTGCTTTTCTTATTTCGTCGACACTAATACCTTGTCGTGAGGCCGCCGAAGTTGACGCGTGTCGCGTGCTATACGGTTTGAAATTCTTATCAATTCCACCTTTGGTTAAGGTTTCGCCTATCCATCGGCTAATTGTTTGAGACGAACAAGCATGGTGAGGGGATTTAAATGTTATAATTATTGTCTGTGAGTCTTGGCTTCTAAGGGGAACGGTTTTATCAATATAATCCTGAAGGGTTGAAGCCACACAAATTGTCCTGTCGGCCGCAAAAAAGGGAAGGACGAAACAAGGTTGTTTTCGACCCGGGGCCGAGGTTTTTATTCTTTCTGGCACCGTTATAATTGCCCCTTGGTCGTTGAAGTGAACGTTCGACAGTTTTAAGGCTGCAATTGTCTGTTGACGGTGTCCCGTAGTAAGCGCCAGAAGGGTGACGAGCTTCAGAGATAGATCCTTAAGTGATAAATTAGAATGAGGAAACAAGGACGATAGGTAGTCGAGTACGGGTTTAGGGTCCCAGGTAAAGTTGTACTTTGGTGTTTGGGGCTTCAAAACAGAGGCACCTTTACAGAACCGTTTTATTGATGGGAGGTTTCCAAGGTCATTACCCAGAAGAAGAGAGAGTGCCGAACGATATGAATTTAGAGTCCCGTACTTCTTTATTTGAGTCATCCTTGTAGCAAGAAAATCAAGAACAAATGAGGTTTCTGGATTAAAACATGGGATCTCATTTTTCCTTGCGAAATTCCACCAAAGTCTTAAAGGGTAGTCATACTGTTTCCAGGTTGTATTGGAGATGGAGGCTAGCATGCACTCCATGGCGGTGTCCGGGATCCCCCTTAATTTGAAAGCTTGGCAGACAAGATTCCTGCCACCAGGGTAAGGTTGTTCGGGAGTTCGTGTTGGTTGCTAAAAGGAGAAGAAAGTAAATTTGGGTGTGGACCAAATGTTAATAATTGGGATTTAAGCAGCCTAGAAAATAGAGGGAACCAGGGTTGAGTCGGCCAATATGGGACTATAACAATGCCTTGAGCTCGGTCCCAAATTATTTTTTGTAAGGTCTTTAGGATCATAGAGAAAGGTGGAAAAGCATAAAACTCTAGATTCTCCCAATTAATCGTAAAAGCGTCAACCGCACACGCATCTGGGTCTGGGAACCATGAGACAAAAGATGAGCACTTTGTATTTATATTTGTGGCGAAAATATCGATTTTTGGTTTACCAAGGGTCTCGACAATTTCCTGGAAAGCTATAGAAGAGAGTTCCCACTCGGTATTTTTGGAAATCTGTCTTGACTGAAAATCCGCTTCGACATTGTCCGCGGATTTTATGTATGAAGCGAATAGCCACAAATCTCGTTTTTCGCACCAACGCCAAATTTCTTGCGCCAGAGAAGCAAGGGTTGGAAAACGAATACCACCCATCTTGTTCACATAACTTATGGCTGTTGTATTGTCAATGCGTAATAACAACTCGCAAGCTCTGAGATCCGACGCAAAACATTTTAGGGCATAAAACACGGCTCTCAGCTCTAGAACGTTTATGTGTTCTTTCTTTTGGTCCTCGGACCACCAACCTCGAGTATTTTTGTCTCCGCAACTAGCGCCCCATCCCGATCGAGAAGCGTCCGAAAAAATTTCCAGAACATAATTATGGGTCCTAATGGGATTGGATGAACTCGGATTATTGACCAATTTTACCCACCAATCTAGATCTGAATAGACCTCCTGAGGAATGTGCATTTTTGCCATATAATTATCATTATTTCTCTCTAAAGCTAAGTACTTGGCCCTTTCTAACATTTTTGTGTATAAAGGGCCGTATTTTACAGCTGGGCACGCAGAAACTACGATGCCTGTAAAACGGGCCAAGTCTTGGATAAGACAAGTTTTCTTGGAAAGAAGGTTTGAGGCAAAATCTGAAATCTTTTTTCTTTTCTCAGGAGGTAGGCTGATCGAGAAACGTTTCGAGTCAATAATGAAACCTAAAAACTTTAAGGATTTTACAGGTTTATGTTGAGATTTTTGAAAATTAACAATGAATCCAAGTGACTGCAAAAGTTTTAGGGATGTGTCAAAATTTTCTTTGCATTCTTCTGAAGATTCCGCTATGAAAAGAAAGTCATCAAGGTAGTTGACAGATATAAAACCCTTAGCTCTCAGAAAAGCTGTGATGGGTCTCATAATTTTTGTAAATACAAGAGGAGCTGTGGATATTCCAAAGGGAAGGACACCAAACTCATACAAAGTCCCTTGAAAGGAGAAACGTAAAAATTTTTTGTGTTCAGGGTGAATTGGAATTAAAGAATAAGCATCTTCGAGATCTAAAGAGGCCAGGAAGCAATTAGGGGTCAAGAGACGAATAACTGTTTTCCAGTCCTCCATTTTAAAATGTGGAGGATTTAAATGCTCATTTAATTTTTTTAAATTCAAAATAAAGCGTTTATCCCCGTTTGGCTTGTCTACCAGAAAAAAAGAAGACAAAAATTGTCCCCGACAGGGCTTGACTCTTGAAATGGCTCCTTTATCTAGTAGTTTAGAAATCTGCTGGGAAATGGCTTTTTCTTCGGCTACTGAGAGCTGTGGTTCCCAGGTTGAAGTACCAGAGGGTTTAGAGATAAATGGAATTTTATAACCATTAATTGTGTCAAGAATATGTGGGTCAGATGTGATTTTTTGCCATTTGGACAGGAAAAATTGTAAACGACCAGCTTTACAAACCTCTAATTCCGGGTTGTCCTGGTTGAGTGGTGTTTCTTGTAGTTCGAGTATGTCCGAGCTCTGTGTGCCCCAGGTCCTTGGTTTGACTTCGTCAAATGCTTTGGTAGAGCTGGGGCCTTGGAGTTTAAATCCCTGGAGAAGGGTTTACGAGCTGGGTATGAAGGTTTTGTTGCTGGTTTTCCCTGGGGTTTTTTCAACATTTCATTGGCAGCTTTTTCCGATTCCTTGGCTTTCTTCCATTTTTCAGTAAAGTCTATTCCAAGCAAAAACTCATCTGACACGGCTTCTAATATCAGATTTTTTGCAACTGGTGTGACCTGGGCCTGGGCCAGGGTACGTTTTCTCGCCGATGACATTCCATAAAATATGTCACATGATATGTGGGCAGCTTCACTGATATAATTTATTAAATTGTCTATTGGTAAAACAGTTGTTTCTGGATCATCCCGAACTGCCAGAAGCTCGGTTAGGGTTTTTCCCAGGATAGTAACCAAAGTTGTTGCTCCGGTTTGAGAGGCCCGCAGTACAGCATCCTTGGTTTTGTTGTTTGTTGCCAACAGAGGCTCAACCTCGGTGTTGAGCTTTGGAGCAACCAATACATTAAAATTCTCCGGACGAGGGTGCCTCTTCCGGAGTTCCTCCCTCTTTTCCTTTGACAAGCCATTTTGCAGGATCCTCCTCCATCTCTCCACCAAAAAAGGATGTAAAGGTTTTCCTATTTGGATCTCCTCGGTGGACTCTCCCAAGAGGGCCAATAAGTCAGGGGTGATATCTGCTGTTGCAGATGCACCAGTGTCTTTTTCTGCTGTTGCAGATGCACTGGTCTCCCTTTCAGACACTTCCTCGCTCCTTCGTGTGACTGAGCAAGATTTGGTAGAGGTTGTGTTGGATCGGGAACGTCTATGTCGTCTGTGATGCCTGGAAGCGCTCCGCCGATGTGTAGACTGACTGGTACGGCTTCTGGAGCGACTACGTCGATGGTATCTGCTATGGCGGTCTCTGGAACGGCTATAACGTCTTCTGGAGCTACTGTGATGGTCTCTCGAAGAGCTTCGATGTTTCTTGGGGCTGCTGTCTCTGGAACGGCTTCGTAGATGTCTTGACGTCCGAGAAGAATCTGAGCGACGAGAGGAGCGGCTCCGTAGTGAAGGAGATTGTACGTTCTCCTTGTCTTCAGTTGTAGAAGCATGCTTAACCCTCAAAAGTTGATTGAGGTTAACTTGTTGTTTATTAAATTGCTCCTGCAATCTTTTAAATTGCTCCGCCAGGTCCAGCTCTTGTGGCGATGTATTCCCCGATGTCGGGGGGTCGCTTTTTTGCATGTTTTTTTTTGATATTGAAAAAGGATTTATTCTAAAAACGAACAAAATTATTTACTATTGTGGTCAAAACCGCACAACAAAGCGTAATGACATTTGGGCGCGAATCGGGTGACCAATAGGGTGTTGGTCGGAAGCGCGCCAATTTTGAATTTTAATTTCTATGCTTTAAAATAGTTGTGGTTGAAACCGAGCAGCTGGCGCTACTACAAGTGTATAATTGATCTAGAGGACGAGACCCTGAAGTATAATTAATTTTGAACTTTTTTATATCATATTTGTTATCGCATTTCGAACAATGCTCCTAGCATTTTTTTGGTTTTTATGTTACTTATCATTTAATCAAAATAAAGTACTTTAAATCATAATTTTTTTTTCAAAAAAGTGCCATATAAATATTTGATCTATTTTGCGTTCATAATGACTTCATTATAACACCGCTTTCGGTGCTGTAATAAGATACTTTATCCCACCCAAAATTTTGATTTTATAGGTTGGCTATACTTTAAACAACATAATATTTTGCCTATTGGTTATAATATTTTTATGATTTTTCTAGTACTTACGAGACTTTTCTGGCAATAAATTTTGTTTAACACCAAAGAAAATACTTTTTTTCTTCTTTAACATTAACAGCCGCTTATTGTAAATAAGTAAATTAAGGACGGCATGGCGAATCGATTTTGACATTAACTGTCAAACCAATGACTGTGATACCAACTATCTAAAGTAAATTTCGACCAAATTAAATTTAAGGTATATAAAATTAATTTTTTTATAGAATTTTTGCAAAATAGATAAAATAGCATTAAGAACTCATGTCATAAGACCTTTTGTCTCACTCTTCCATTACAAAACTCCTTCGTCTATTTTCAAAATCTATAGAAATTTTTCATGGGAAAGCATGCGCAGAATGTGCGCTACAGGATATTAAGATTATACACTCACAGGCAAAATAATCGATCCACACAAATTTTCGATGAATTTCAATCGCAAATATCTTTTTTATTTGATGTCGGATTTAAACGAATATTAAAAAATATTGTAGGTAAATTAATGGACAATCGCTCACATTTTAAAAAATTACTAAAAAATAGACGTAGGTACGTTTATAATATACAGGTTTAAACAAAAAGATGTTTTTACCATAAGTTTAAGACACTCTGTAGAGTGGCAAAACCGTATATTGTTCTAAATTAAGTTTTATTTATCAAGTCACATCTATTCTTAAAAGTTTTGTTTTTGGTTTACCTCGATATATTTATTTTTGTGAAAAATATGGATTTATGAAAAAAAATTTTTGTTAACGTTAATGTTAACATTGCAATTTCCAATATTTTTCTGTATGAAGAACTAAGGTTGCTATGGTCCATCCATAGGCTATGGAGAATGACAGTGACAGTTTTGTTGAATCATCCCATACTTGGCATTTCATAGCTTTCAAAAGCTATCAAATTGTTTTTTGCAAATTAATGTTTAAATTTTGAGGTGTCTTCTTACTTTAAAAAATGGATATGTCTCCGACTGATGTTGCCAGAGCCATTAATTTAATCCAGGATGGACGGTCACAGTATTACGTGGAAAGTGTTTTAAACGTCACAAGAAGTAAAGTACAAAGGGCATCATCAGTCGGAGACATTTTTAAAAGTAAGAAGACACCTCAAAATTAACACATTAATTTACAAAAAACAATTAGATAGCTTTTGAAAGCTGTATACGACAGGTCCAAGTATGGGGTGATTCAACAAAACTGTCACGGTCATCCTCCATAGGCTATGGATGGACCATAGCAACCTTAGTTCTTCATACAGGAAAAATATTGGAAATTGCAATGTTTTTTTAAAAAAATCCATATTTTCCACAAATTAAATATATCAATGTGAACCAAAAACAAAACTGTTAAAAATAGATGTGACTTAATAATTAAAACTTAATTTTGAACATTATACGGTTTTGCCACTCTACAGAGTGTCTTAAACTTATGGTAAAAAACATATTTTTGTTTAAACCTAAACGTACTTGTATTTTTTAGTAATTTTTAAAATGTGAGCGATTCTCCATTAATGTATCTAGATAGCTACAATATTCTTTAATATTTGTTTAAATCCGAAAACAAATAAAAAAGTTATTTGCGACTGAAATTCATCGAAAATTTGTGTGGATCGATTATTTTGCGTGTGAGTGTATAGGTAATAAATAAGTCACATGGAACTTTATTTCCTTGATGTTTTAAATTTTATTTAGGAATATAGGTAGGTACTTTGAACATTTTTTTAAATAAAAAAAAACTTAAATGCCACATTCTTTTTATTTCATTTTTATTCTTCGGTGGAAATCTGCATTACGTATCTCAATCCTTTTCCAGGCTGTGAAGTGATTTTAATTTTAACCTCTTTTTCATAAAGGCCTCCAGAAATAATGGCAGGATAACCTCCATCCCCCATGTTGAATTGATTAAAAGCCTAAATATATTTTAAAAAAATTATGAAAGTATATAAATATGCACAAAAACTAATTTACCTCAATGCAAGTTATGTTCTTGGTATTAATTGTGTTTATGGGCCAATAAAAGTCTATTTCAGATACACCATAGGCATGGGTTGCTGCAGTCCATGTTTCTTGATAAACTAATCTTGGACTAAAATAATAAAAATTAAAAACAATATAAAAAAAACTTTAAGAATACTTACCTACTCTTATAGTCACAAAGTCTTAAGTCAAACTCATTATTGGTCAATTTTTCGACTGACTTTGCCGAAATTATGGCTAAAACACCGCTGAGAACTAACAAAATTTTAAAAGACATCATTGTTGCAATGAAATGAAAAATGTTTAGCACCCTTTTATACTAACTTTGTTATCGCATTTATGATAAACAAGGCAATCATAGTCTCAAGTAGCATTTAAGGTTATTTATTCTTTACCTGGACTACTAAGTATTTAATCAATATAAAACACTTAAAAAATTGCTATGTAATAATAATATAGAAATTTTAAACCAAACCAAATTTGCGAGTAATTATGGCTACAAAAGCGCTAAGAACCAACAAAACTTTAAAGGACTTCATTGTTGCAATGAAAACAAAAATGTTTAGCACTTTTTTATACATAATTTGTTATTACACTAATGACAAACAAGGCAATCATACCCACTGGGAAAAATAATATTTCTACAATGTTACTGAACGTTACATTTGTTAGATGTAATGTTACAAAAATCATTGTGGCAATGTTGCAGGAACATTGCAACAAAGCCTTATGTCCGGCTCAGGAACATTACATTTACAAATAAAATGTTGCTTAAATGTATTAATTGCAATGTTACTAAATGTTATTTTTGTTAATGTAAGGTTCCTGCAACATTATATTTGTTAGGTGTAATGTTACAGAAATCATTGTGGCAATGTTGCAAGAACATTGTAACAAAGCCTTATGGTTCAGGAACATTACATTTACAAATAAAATGTTGTTTAAATGTATTAATTGCAATGTTACTAAATTTTACTGTTGTTAATGAAAGGTTCCTGCAACATTACAGGAACATTGCAATTAAATTAATATGAATTATTATAATAATAATTAATTATAATTATTTATCCGTCAGCCTATTATATACATATATATTAGGGTGAGCCAAAAAAAACTAACCTATCGGATTTATGGGTTAAAATGAACCTACATACCGAGCAAAAAATTTCCCTGCAAGGCAAATTTTTTTGCTCAATTTTAAAAGGTGTCGGTGAGCATTCTAAGTTTTCCATTGAAATAACACGTAAAAAAATCTTTTTTCATTAAAAAGACTATAACTTTTGAACCGTTTGAGATAAAAATTTTTACGTCGCGGATTCTTGTAGAGCACAAAACTGCAGTTTTAGTGATTTTTTACACTTTTCAAAGCTTTCAAAAATACGAATTTTTGAATTAAAAAAAATAATCCTGGTATAGATTCTTTGGGAAATTTTATATATGTTATAGTCTTTTTAATGAAAAAAGATTTTTTTACGTGGTGCAATGTTCCTGCAACATTGCCACAATGATTTTTGTAACATTACATCTAACAAATGTAACGTTCAGTAACATTGTAGAAATATTATTTTTCCCAGTGGGTATGATTGCCTTGTTTGTCATTAGTGTAATAACAAATTATGTATAAAAAAGTGCTAAACATTTTTGTTTTCATTGCAACAATGAAGTCCTTTAAAGTTTTGTTGGTTCTTAGCGCTTTTGTAGCCATAATTTGCGAGTAATTATAATTACTCGTAGTCCAGGTAAAGAATAAATATCCTTAAATGCTACTTGAGACTATGATTGCCTTGTTTATCATAAATGCGATAACAAAGTTAGTATAAAAGGGTGCTAAACATTTTTCATTTCATTGCAACAATGATGTCCTTTAAAATTTTGTTAATTCTCAGCGGTGTTTTAGCCATAATTTCGGCAAAGTCAGTCGAAAAATTGACCAATAATGAGTTTGACTTAATACAATGTGACTATTTGAGTAGGTAAGTATTCTTAAAGTTTTTTTTATATTGTTTTTAATTTTTATTATTTTAGTCCAAGATTAGTTTATCAAGAAACATGGACTGCAGCAACCAGAGGCTATGATGTATCTGAAATAGACTTTTATTGGCCCATAAACACAATTAATACCAAGAACATAACTTGCATTGAGGTAAATTAGTTTTTGTGCATATTTATATACTTTCATAATTTTTTTTAAATATATTTAGGTTTATAATCAATTCCAAATGGGGGATGGAGGTTATCCTGTCATTACTTCTGGAGGCCTTTATGAAAAAGAGGTTAAAATTAAAATCACTTCACAGCCTGGAAAAGGATTGAGATACGTAATCCAGATTTCCACCGAAGAATAAAAATAAAATAAAAAGAATGTGGCATTTAAGTTTTTTTTTATTTTAAAAATTAAGTACCTACCTATATTCCTAAATAAAATTTAAAACATCTAGGAAATAAAGTTCCATGTGACTTATTTATTATACACTCACAGGCAAAATAATAATAAGTTTCCCCCTGTTCCCCCTATAAGGAGGAGAGTGTAAGGACCAATTTTAGTACTGATTGATTTCCCCCCTCGAATTATTTAATTTTTATTTTAAACATTTTTTCGTTTTTGTGACGAAACAATATTCAAAAGTAAATAAATCACGTAAAATTTAAGATTTTGTTTTATCCGTGTTATCTTTTATTGTTTATAAATTTTTATAAAAACAAGTTAAAAAAAATTACCTTTTTTTATTTATTATGTCAAATATAATATAATTTTTGGTTTTACCACTAATTAATTAAGCTAGGTTAAATGATAAAACACCCATATTTATAAAGCCTAATTTATAGATTTACCTTCCTTCCTTCCTTCCTCCCGTAAAAGATGAACAATGCGAAAATGCGGGAGGAAGGAAGGTATGTAATCTATAAATCAGGCTTAACACAAAATAAACATATCTTTTAGCTCTTACTAACTGATGTGGGAGCTAGATGGCGCGTTGACCAGGTGGAAAGCTCGCACTTCTACACCAACAAAGACATAGATCGTATAATAAGAGAAACTGAGGCCACCGTGACCCAGGATTTGGAAGGTGGCGACAGGCAGAGGGCCATGAAAAGGCTCAGGGTGCCACCTTTGGGGGAGCAACAAAGTCCCTGGACCACCTTTAAAGTTGGCCTGTTTTCAGGCAGCTTGATCGTCTTGTTGATTGCCGTTTTATTGTCCGGTAAGCATGTTGTAGAGAAATATGATAAAAGTAGTTCAACAATGGCCTTAAAAAGCCGAGAAAATAATATAAAGTAACTCACGATTTTAACAATACGCTAAAGAAGTATCGGTAAGAGAGGAAGGCAGAAGTGTTACTCGACAAATTTTGTTCAATTGTTACGTTGCAAGTAAAAAACTAAAAAACTGGTTTAGTTCTCGATTTCGATTGATTATTCTTTATATCATTGATTAAGAAACTCAACGCTGAAATGCTTATATAGTGTGCTTATATATGTGTGCATTTTATCTAAGGGATCATGGTGAATTATTGTGTTTTTAATTATAAATAAAATTCAAGAACTAAATCGTTGCATTTTCATGTTTTGCCAAAGGATCCAATTCGGTAGTACATTTGTTGGTGCAGAATTAACTAATGATAACTTTACCTAATATACTTAATTTATATTTAAGTTTGGACAGTTTAAAGAAATTAGTAAAACATAATTTTTGCACAAACATAACCTTAAAATCAACCATTTTTATATTTGAGTTCTCTAAAAAACGCCGACAACTGCATTTTAAACAACAAAATATACCTACGAATTCATGGCAACATAATATTATATATAATACATAATATAATGGTATTTTACCGTTTAGTGGAGACTTTCTAAATCAATGATAAATGCTGTTTAAATTTAGACGACTTATTTGTTTGACGATTTTTACTGAATTGAAATTTCACGTTAATCATCACTACTAAAATATGTATTTATTGTATCTAATAGGTACAATTTATATTTACATAGACTGTATACAATTTATTTCTTCATTCAGATTAACACTTTTTATTGGAAAACCGGTAAAAACTCAACCCAGGTTTTCCTCTCTAAATACACCCAACAACACAACAAATTGATTCACGGTTTTTTTTTTCGATATTTTTTAACATTTTTCGGCTTTATTCTCAAAAACACTCGTTTGTAACCTAAGCGTTTGAAAGCTGATCATTAAATGTTGTACTTTTGTTACGATGATAACAGCCGAGTGGTGGCTCTACTAGCCATACTTCTTCAGCGTATTTGACAAGTCAAGAAATATCTATTTTAATTTAAAAAATAACAATATTCGTTGCTTTTGGGCCTTACAAAATAATTATTATTTATTTGTTAAAAAAAACAACTGAAACACAAAATTTTGATATGTTAAATAACACTACTTTAGAGCTATGTCTCAATATGATTTTCTTGTGTAGTTTTGCTCACTACACGCGAAAATCACGATAAATTTTTTTTCTTGGAAGCGTTTGTTACACTTTTTATTAACTAAATAAACAATAATAAAAATGCCTTGTTAAAATGTCACTATGCCAACACGAGAAACAAAAGAATTCACGTTTGCGGAGTCATGTCAAATTTAAATTTTGAATAATGTTTTGTTAACGGCCATTCCAAGCCCATGGACAGGACACATCAGAAACATGTCTAAATATATTCTTGTTACTTCCTTAAGTTTACTTATTTTTTCTACGAGTATTTATGAGAAGTATTAGCCAAATTTGGCTAATACTTCTCATAAATACTCGTAGAAAAAATAAGTAAACTTAAGGAAGTAACAAGAATATATTTAGACATGTTTCTGGTGTGTCCTGTCCATGGGCTTGGAATGGCCGTTAAAGAATAATCATATAAAATAAAAAAATCGTAAAAAGCTGAATTTTGGTCTTCCACTAAAAAATTCATAACTTCGCCATTTATTTATGGATTTTTATCAACATCATCTTGTTTTTTTTTAAATGTCAGCTTTACGAAAAAAATTTAGGACCTAAATTTAAAAAATAACGAATTTTTTAAGTTATCAAAATCGCTGGCATCAAAATACTTTCCCGATATAAAAAGTATGTAGAAGAAAGTTTTAGAGGGCTCAAATACCTTCAATTTAAGGGCTTGCTTGACCAAATCTATCAATTAGATTTCAAGCTATACTCAAAAACGTCAAAACACGTCTAAAAATTAAAAAAAAAAACAATTAAAAATCCATATCTCGAAAACGGTTCCATAAAAAAAATTGAGTGTGATTTTCGTGTTTAGTGGGTC